TAAAAAATTAAAGTCTTCTCAATGTTACACATTTTCTTCTGCAGAGTTTGGGAGTCTTACCACATCTCAACTGATGGAAAAAGTTCGGGGTCTTCAAAATCTTGCTTTTCAACTTGGGTTAGATGAAGGTACGAGTTTATACCAAGTGTCCCAGATTTCACTGATAAATCAGGAAATTCTAGAGTCTGTTGTAGATGCCATTTGATTTATGAGTGGAAAGAGAAGAGTTTTAAAGTAGTTGGAGGTTTGGGAGGAAGAAAATATGTTCACCCCTTGTATCCTGACATGTCAGAATGATTACCCAGCATCACAGAAATCCAGGACGCATTGAGAAAAAGAAATACTCCAGATTCACCCAATAAGTATCGGAAAACTGGAAGATCCCCAATAATTTGGCATTTTAGACCTTTTGCAGTAGTGTGTGACTAAAGGAGATGAGTACCATGGTCATATAAGAAAAAAATTTATAGATGATTACTAATGATTTCAACTCTTTACATGTAAAATATAATCACCATCACTTCCATTATTACCAGAGGATTATCACCAAAGGTTTTTTATTAAATTTTTTATTTATGGTGTCTATTTTTTTTTAGCCCGGGAAATGACAAGGGGAAAGTTTTTAAACATTCTGGAGAAGGCTAACTCTGGACGAAGATAAGATATGGCATAATGTGCAGTTGTAAATAAAATTACTAAAAGTTGTGTAAAATTTTAGTAGAATGGTACTTTTCTTCTGGTTGTTATGGTAAAAAATGGAATTCACATCATAGGATAAACCCTGTCTTTTTCCCACATTGAGAAAAATTATTTGACTTAAAATGTAGAGAGTTCTGTCTGGCTGTATTATTATTTTAAATCAAACTTTGGGACAAGAATTTTCAAAACAACAAGAGGATTGTTTGACTCTTTGTTGTTCTGTGCTATGTCAACTTAAAGACAGGGAAGTTCTGTTTCTCATTCTCACTTTGAGTGTGGCATTTCTTAACTAATGATTATTGTGAGTGCCATACACCTCTGGCCAGCAGCACCAAAAGCAGCCCCAATGAGCTGAAATATTACAATGACAACCACTTATGTCACTTTACGAGAAAAGTATGAAGTGAATGTGGATAGGTTCAAAAAGAAAACACGCATTTCACTACTGGTTAAATTTGGTTTAATGAAATTAACTAAGTTAACCAACATGAGCTCAGTGAGCAAGCAGTCCACGAGCTTAGCGGGCATCCATAGGGCAATCCCATTCAACCTACGATCTTTGAGTTCTTCATTGAGCGTTTGTGTAGTGGTCTGTGGAGTGGTTGTTTTAGCATCTTCCCCCCCACTCCCATCCCCTATGTTTCTTCCTTTCACTGTTTCATCAGTGTGACGGGTGCCTGGAATGGGGGTTCATGACAGAGTTGCGGGGATTTGCCAGCCATGGGGGCAGTGTTCTATCTAGGGGCTGGATGGCCACAGTGGAAGCCCCTGGGTATCCCAGGCACCCACCATCCACTTAAGCGAGGCAGTTAGTAAAGTATTATGCAAGCCAAACCTGATTGATGGTATTTTCTTTGTTGGCATCTGGCATTATGACACCATGGTTCTTTGCTCCCTGAAAGAAAAAAATACAGTGAAACCTCAATTTAACGAACACCATTTAACAAATTCCTCAGTTTCACACCCCATATTTTACCATGTCCCTTGGCCCTTCGTTGTGCAGTGTTCTGAGAGGTCTGCTGTAGTAACTCTTTACCAGATTTTTGGAATAAAGCTCATCTCAGACTGTGTCACCGAGAGTGTCAGTAGAACATGTGAAGTTTCATTTTTCTGTTACCGTTTTTATTGTGTTACAATGCAAAACAAATCATTCAACTACAAGTTTGTCTTACCATGTTTGATTGAACTCTTTTTCCATTTTTTGAGCCAGTCTCATAAATGTACTTTCCCTGGAAACATAAGAATTATAGATAATACATGAAATAAATGCCTAATAGTGTTAGTTGAGAACAACAGAATTTATGAAGGCAAAGCTTACTTACAGCTTGATCAGAGCCGACAAATGAAATTGCTTTAACATCAGGATGCTCACAAATGAATCTGACAGCTACAAAACATTCAAAATACTATTAACAATTCACCATTGTTTTTTAAAGTAATGTTTAATGAGTCTAAAGCTCAAATTCAAGCTCCAATTTTCATGACCAAACCTTAACGCTATTCAGTATTAATATAATTGGAAACAACTTATTATCAAATCAACAGATCAACACAAAAGCACCTAAAGCCATTAGCAATCAATTATTTCATTGAACGTCCTGTTAATCAATAATGAAATCTTATGCAATGTTTTTACAGAGAGAAGCAAACAACATTAGGGCCATTTATACGAGGAAAAATAAGACGCATCTTAGATAAGACGCGCACTTTCTGTATAAACGGCACATTTCGTCTAAAATAAGATGCAACTTAGCAAAGACGTGTCTTATTTTAGAACAGCCCTTAACACCTGTTCTTAGATAAGACACGTCTTAGCTAAGACGAGAAAAACTTTGTATAAATGACTTTCGCATCTCACATAAGACCCAAACACATAGTATGCATGGGTTAATTTTTGGCGGAAAAATTATCGATTGCCACAAATTACAAATTACAATGCGTTTTTTTTTTCCTTGTCTATTCTGCTTTATTTTTTCTTCACTCAAATACAATGAGCACGCCGTTAAAGTAAAAAGAAACACTTGGTCCATTGCAGAGGAAAAAGATTTTTCGTTATTATGTAAGGAGAAGGCAATAACAGACCTCCTGGACAAATGCGTGACATCTGCTTGTGTAAGTAGACCCTTTTAACTTTAAACCATCACAATTTGTAATTACTAATGAAATTGCTATCTTCGTATTATAAACTTACACTTTAAAAGTAAGTTTAAGTATACAGAAGGCTTAGATAAGACATGCTCGTATAAATGGTCCAGTTCGCGTCTTATTTAAGACACATCTTATTTTTCCTCGTATAAATGGCCCTATTAGAGTTGGNAGGGCCATTTATACGAGGAAAAATAAGACGCATCTTAGATAAGACGCGCACTTTCTGTATAAACGGCACATTTCGTCTAAAATAAGATGCAACTTAGCAAAGACGTGTCTTATTTTAGAACAGCCCTTAACACCTGTTCTTAGATAAGACACGTCTTAGCTAAGACGAGAAAAACTTTGTATAAATGACTTTCGCATCTCACATAAGACCCAAACACATAGTATGCATGGGTTAATTTTTGGCGGAAAAATTATCGATTGCCACAAATTACAAATTACAATGCGTTTTTTTTTTCCTTGTCTATTCTGCTTTATTTTTTCTTCACTCAAATACAATGAGCACGCCGTTAAAGTAAAAAGAAACACTTGGTCCATTGCAGAGGAAAAAGATTTTTCGTTATTATGTAAGGAGAAGGCAATAACAGACCTCCTGGACAAATGCGTGACATCTGCTTGTGTAAGTAGACCCTTTTAACTTTAAACCATCACAATTTGTAATTACTAATGAAATTGCTATCTTCGTATTATAAACTTACACTTTAAAAGTAAGTTTAAGTATACAGAAGGCTTAGATAAGACATGCTCGTATAAATGGTCCAGTTCGCGTCTTATTTAAGACACATCTTATTTTTCCTCGTATAAATGGCCCTATTAGAGTTGGAAAAAAACTTTTTTTTTATGCAGTGGTTACTTAGGCTTTCTGTGAGAACAATCAAATTCCTAGCATTCAAAAACTTCAACTGTCTGAAATATGAGATTGAATTGAATTTGGTGTTGTTTCCAGAATGGTCTAAACACCTTTACAAGGTCCTGAAACCTACCACAATTCTTACTCATAACTACTAGCTTTCCTAAATATTTCCCCTTATGAAATAATTTACAAAGCTACATAAAAATAACAGAAGAGAAAGTGGAAATATTACGTTCAACAGTTCCATGGAAAACATTGATACAGCCATCAGGGACACCCGCTTCTTGAGCAAGCTTCATTATAAACATGGGCGCTAATGGATTCCTTGGGGAGGGTTTGATCACCATGGTATTACCACAAACTAATGCCATGGGAAACATCTGTGAACAAAAAAAATAAAGGCAGAAGATTAAACGCGACTAATAAGTCTTGTCAGATGCAAAAAAGATTTTAGTTATAGGAGGCCAATTTTGCCGTTATAAGAAGAGAGACAGAAAAAAGTGTATTATAAGATTTACACTTTTGACCTTTGCAATACTGATGCAGTGCACCAAAGGTAACAAACCAACTGAAAGCTGTTTATGCAGTTGTTACATTATAAACCCATGAAAGGATGAAAATTAAGTAATGAGTATGTGAACTTATCTTGGAACTGTAGGATCAGGAATTAAATTTAAAGACAATCATCACAGCTATAGAGGCAACCTTTTTAATTGCAAAAAGAAAGCCTGAAGCCAGTTTGGCTTGTATAGGTTTCAAACCCTTGACCTCAGTGCAGTGCTCTGAAACTAATAATTTTGAGCTAACAAGCAATTGGGAGCTGGGCAGGAGTGAGTTTTTTAGCAATACCAACTATCTGATTTAATAGACAAGAAGTGCGTATTTCTTAAACCTGTCAGGCTGGGTATTAGTTCAAAGTAAATACATCAGCTTTTACATTAAATCCTTTACTTACCCACAATGGAATCATAGCTGGGAAATTAAACCTGGAGAGAGAAAAAAAAAAGACAAATATGCTGTTTTTTTTCACTGATCTTGACAAATGTATTTTTTTCCCCACCAGTTGTTGTAGTATTGTCCATCTGACTACAAAAACAGGTTTCTCTAACAATACCGAGTTGGATGCTTTACAGTAAAATTGAAAGCAAGAACAATCAGGATTTCAATACAAACCCTATCTCATCCAAATGTGGAATTAACTTGAGTAAATGCAATCGCCTGATTGCTTCCCCTTACTTTGGAACCTTTAACAAGCGTTTTCAGCAAGAACAATCCACCAAAAATAAACAAATTTACAAAAATTTACATACGGTGTAATTCCTGCACAGACTCCTATGGGAACTCTGTATGAGTAGGTATCCATATCCTTGGTGATCTGTGACACTGTTTCACCCATCTGAAGTGAAGTGACTGAGCAGGCATGTTCAACAACCTCTGGAAAAAAGAAATATTAGATGGAGTTAGCATTAATCAATTTTAATATTGATCCTCTCCTGTGAACAAGTACCTTATTTTGAATTTCTGTTCTATTCTCTTTTGCTTCACTCAGAAGAATAGAAACTTAACATTTCACATTAAAGTTAACAATTATTAAACAAAAAAACCTGAAGGGTAGCTCTCTGTCCAGCAAAAATGTAGCCTGCATGTAAAAATCAATAGTTAAAATAATATAGGGACAAATAATGCCATGGAATTGAAAAACTATGGGTGTATTAAACCTGAAAGCATAAAGTAGATAGAAGAGCAAAGGAGACAATGTAAACCATACAACAGGTGTCAAAAGAAGCTGATAGCAATGAACTGAACACATACCAACAGGCAACAGAATAACAGCCATGTGAAAACCATTTTCAAATTTAATGTTGTTATCATACTATGTGAACAAATTTACTCACGTAATCCTCGTTGTACTTCACCAAGGGCATCAGGTGTTGTTTTGCCAGTATCCGCTGTGATGAGATCAGCAATTTCATTCTGTTATCAAAGACAAAAAAATAAGCATGAGTGCCATACACCTCTGGCCAGCAGCACCAAAAGCAGCCCCAATGAGCTGAAATATTACAATGACAACCACTTATGTCACTTTACGAGAAAAGTATGAAGTGAATGTGGATAGGTTCAAAAAGAAAACACACATTTCACTACTGGTTAAATTTGGTTTAATGAAATTAACTAAGTTAACCAACATGAGCTCAGTGAGCAAGCAGTCCACGAGCTTAGAGGGCATCCAGAGGGCAATCCCATTCAACCTAGGATCATTGAGTTCTTCATTGAGCGTTTGTGTAGTGGTCTGTGGAGCAGTTGTTTTAAGCATCTTCCCCCCCACTCCCATCCCCTATGTTTCTTCCTTTCACTGTTTCATCAGTGTGACGGGTGCCTGGAATGGGGGTTCATGACAGGGTTGCGGGGATTGGCCAGCCATGGGGGCAGTGTTCTATCTAGGGGCTGGATGGCCACAGTGGAAGCCCCTGGGTATCCCAGGCACCCACCATCTACTTAAGCGAGGCAGTTAGTTAAGAATAATGCAAGCCAAACCTGATTGATGGTATTTTCTTTATTGGCATCTGGCATTATGACTCCATGGTTCTTTGCTCCCTGAAAGAAAAAAAATACAGTGAAACCTCAATTTAACAAACACCCATTTAACAAATTCCTAGCTTTCATACCCCATATTTTACCAGTCCCTTTGCCCTTCATTGTGCAGCAGTTCAGACAGGTCTGTTGTAGTAACTCTTTACCAGATTTTTGAAAAGAAGCTTATCTCAGACTGTGACACCAAGAGTGTAAGTAGAACATAGTCCACATTAAGAGCTTAATTTTTCTGTTACAGTTTTTGTGTTACATTGCAAAACAAATCATTAAACTACAAGTCTGTCTTACCATGTTTGATTGAACTCTTTTTCCATTTTTTGAGCCAGTCTCATAAATGTATTTTCCCTGGAAAAATAAGAATAATTATAGATAATATATGAAAAAAAATGCCTAATAGTGTTAGTTGAGAGCAACAGAATTTATGAAGGAAAAGCTTGCACTTACAGCTTGATCAGAGCCAACAAACGAAATTGCTTTAACATCAGGATGCTCACAGATGAATCTGACAGCTACAAAACATTCAAAATACTATTAACAATTCACCAATGTTTTTTAAAGTAATGTTTAATGAATCTAAAGCTCAATTTCACGACCAAACCTTAACACTATTAATATAATTGGAAAAAATTTATTATCAAATCAATAGATCAACACAAAAGCACCTAAAACCATTAGCAATCAACTATTTCATTGAACGTCCTGTTAATCAATAATGAAATCTTACACAATGTTTTTAGAGAGAAGCAAACAACATTAGGGCCATTTATACGAGGAAAAATAAGACGCGTCTTAGATAAGACGCGCACTTTCTGTATAAATGGCATAATAAGATGCAACTTAGCTCAGACGCGTCTTATTTTAGAACAGCCCTTAACACCTGTTCTTAGATAAGACGCGTCTTAGCTAACACGAGAAAAACTTCGTATAAATGACCTTCGCGTCTTACATAAAACCTGAACACATACTGCACATGTGTTAATTTTTGGCGGAAAAATTATTGCTTGCCCCGCAGTGAACTGGCAGGCCACTGGCGGGGAAAAATTGTTTACAAATTACAACGTGTTTTCGTTTCCTTGTCTATTCTGCTTTATTTTTTCTTCGCTCAAATACAATGAAAACCCTGTTAAAGGTAAAAAGAAACACTTGGTCCATTGCAGAGGAAAAAGATTTTTTGTTATTATGTAAGGAGAAGGCGATAACAGACCTCCTGGACAAATGTGTGACATCTGCTTGTGTAGTAGACCCTTTTAACTTTAAACCATCACAATTTATAATTACTCATCAAATTGCTATCTTCGTATAATAAACTTACACTTTAAAAGTAAGTTTACGTGTACAGAAGACTTAGATAAGACATGCTTGTATAAATGGTCCAGTTCGCGTCTTATTTTTCCTCATATAAATGGCCTTATTAGGGTTGGAAAAAACTTTTTTTTCTGCAGTGGTTACTTAGGCTTTCTGTGAGAACAATCAAATTCCTAGCATTCAAAAACTTCAACTGTCTGAAATATGAGATTGAATTGAATTCGGTGCTGTTTCCAAAATGGTCTAAACACCTTTACAAGGTCCTGAAGCCTACAACAATTCTTACTCATTATTACTAGCTTTCCTAAACATTTCCCCTTATGAAATAATTTACAAAGCTACATAAAAATAACAGAGGAGAAACTGGAAATATTACGTTCAACAGTTCCATGGAAAACATTGATACAGCCATCAGGGACACCCGCTTCTTGAGCAAGCTTCATTATAAACATGGGGGCTAATGGATTCCTTGGGGAGGGTTTTATCACCATGGTATTGCCACAAACTAATGCCATAGGAAACATCTGTGAACAAATAAAGGCAAAAGATGAAACGGGACTAATAAGTCTTGTCAGATGCAAAAAGGATTTCAATTATATGATGCCAATTTTGCAGAACATTTTAGAGAGACAGAAAAAATTGCATAAGATTAGCACTTTCGACCTTTGTAATACTGATGCAGTGCTCCAAAGGTAACGAACCAACTGAAAGCTGTTTATGCAGTGGTTACGTTATAAACTCGTGAAAGGATGAAAATTAAGTAATAAATATGTGAACTTATCTTGGAACTGCAGGATCAGGAATTAAATTTAAAGCCAATCGTCACAACTATAGAGGCAACCTTTTTAATTGCAAAAAGAAAGCCTGAAGCAATTTTGGCTTGTATAAGTTTCAAACCCTTGTCCTCAGTGCAGTGCTTGAACTAAATGAGCTCACAAGGCAACTAGGAGCTCCGCAGGATCGAGTTGCTTAGTAATATTAATAACCTGATTTAAAAGACAAGAAGCACCTATTTCTTAAACCTGTCAGGCTGGGTATTAGCTTTTACATTAAATCCTTTACTTACCCACAGTGGAATCATAGCTGGGAAATTAAACCTGGAGAGAAAAAAAAATGCTGTTTTTTCCACCAATCTTGACAACTGTATTCTTTTTTTCTGACCAGTTCTTCACCTAACTACAAAAACAGGTTTCTACAACAATACCAAGTTGGATGCTTTACCGAAAAATTGAAAGCAAGAACAATCAGGATTTCAACACAAACCCTATCTCATCCAAATGTGGAATTAACTTGAGTAGATGCAATCGCCTGATTGCTTCCCCTTACTTTGGAGCCTTTAGCAAGCTTTTTCAGCAAGAACAATCCACCAAAAATTAACAATTTACAAAAATTTACATACGGTGTAATTCCTGCACAGACTCCTATGGGAACTCTGTATGAGTAGGTATCCATGTCCTTGGTGATCTGTGACACTGTTTCACCCATCTGAAGTGAAGTGACCGAGCAGGCATGTTCAACAACCTCTGGAAAAAGGAAATCATAGATGGAGTTAGTATTAATCATTTAATTGATCCTCTCCTGTGAACAAGTAGCAAATGAATTTCTGTTCTATTCTCTTTTGCTTCTCTCAGCAGAATAGAAACTGAACATTTCACATTTAAGTTACCAACTATTAAACAGAAAAACCTGGAGGCTAGCTCTCTGTCCAGCCAATGTTTATTGCTAACATTAACGTAAGATGGATCAGGCCACATGTAAAAATCAATAGTTAAATATAGGGACAAATAATGCTATGGAAATTGAAAAACTATGGGTGTAATAAGCCTAAAAGCATAAAGTAGATAGAAGAGCAAAGGAGACGATGTAAACCATACAACAGGTGTCAAAAGAAGCTGATGGCAATGAACTAAACACGTACCAACAGGCAACAGAATAACAGCCATGTGAAAACCAGTTTCAAATTTAATGTTGTTATCATATATATATACTATGTGAACAAATTTACTCACGTAATCCTCGTTGTACTTCACCAAGGGCATCAGGTGTTGTTTTGCCAGTATCCGCTGTGATGAGATCAGCAATTTCATTCTGTTATCAAAGACAAAAAAATAAGCAGTGGTATCCAATAAATTTGTGCAAGGTAATCATAAAATCATTCCATAATTTTTGACATTAATATTGACACTTTGGAAGAAGGAGGTATGGCAAGCAGGGTTGAAATAAACTACAATTACACCAGCCATAGGAATGTAGCAAGTTTGGGAAGACTACTGACGCATCAACCTCAACTTAATAGACTATTAACCATTTAAACCGTAAGATCAAAATTTGAATTCTTATTTCCTGCCCCTATTTATTTTTTTCAGAAGTAGTAGGGAGAAGTTGATAAAATATCAAGCAAGTTCATCTTGTGTGATCATGTCCGTAATTCTCATGACCACTGTTTTAACAAAGCACTGATATTACAAGAAGAGATTTCATGCTGATCACTCTTAGGGCTTAAAGAGTAAAGGTATCTTTCAACGTGACTGGTGATGGGTTAAGATATACATTTTGTTCTTACCATGTGTTTCTTGATAAGGTGCTGAAGGCTAAACATGACTTGCTGGCGTGATAGAACTGAGCTTTCAGACCACGCAGGGAAAGCGGCTTTAGCTGCGGCAACAGCAGATTCCATCTCAGCTAAAGTTGACTCTGGACATCGAGAAATGACTTCATTTGTTGCCTGTTAAAGAGAAAAACAAACTAAACAACTTAAACAATCATGCCAGACCAGTCTTATAGTGCTATTGGTGTACTGGTTGTTTAGCATTTACATTTCCGTGTCACTTTTTCTTGGATTTTGTTGGAACTATTTTGTCAAGTGTAAATAGTTATCTCAAATATTTGTTGTATTAAATTACAGTAAAGCTAATCAATGGGTGCCTTTTGATATATCAAAATTCAGCCTTATAACAAGGTTTATATAAGAAAGCACAAACAGAGAAAGAAATGTTTTGATCTTTGACAACCTTCCGTGAATTTTATTATCATCAATGAAACCAATTTACCATATTCCAAGAGAGTGACTCATATTGACTCATAGAATTATTGATAGGTATTTTGTAATAAGATCAATCAAATGTACTAGTGCACTTAGCTTAGATTTCCAAGAATAGTACATACTGGATTGTGAACATCATGCCATTTGTCTGTCGATGACTCCACAAACTGTCCATTTATAAACATCTTGGTAACTGAAGGCTAAAAATATTGAATTAAGGGTACATGAGCTTATCTCAGTGTTTACAAACACCCATCGACAATAGCACAGACAGTTAAATCTCGTACCAACCAAGATAATTACATTAAACCATTGAATTTCCATGTCCCTTGTTTTATTAAACATCAATAATTATCACTGTTTCATTACTTTGTTGAAGAAGAAGAACATGCATGAGCAAAAGTTATGGTACAAAGCAGGTTTACATTTTGGATACTTACAATGTTGCCATTACTGTAATACCTGTTCTGCACTGATGCCAAGAGCGCTGTCTGAAAAAATTGTTAATGAATGATAAGACATACAATATTA